GAAAATTATTGGCTTCGATCGAGTACGTAGAGTGATAACCGCGTTTGTTAAAAAGCCGCGAGCAGTTAATCGGATTCCGCCCCTTGGAGAGGAATATTAGAAGAAGGCTTAGTTTTAATTGCCTGAAGAAGTCTTAAATAATATGGCTTTGAATGTCCTTGTGACGCGTCACGTGCGCATCGCAAAACCAGGCTATCATGTTACGGGACCTCTTTGTAAAATRTTAATCCCACAGTTAAACAAAAATGTAATGGTCTTAATAAACCTGGTGAAAAAAAGTTAAAGTAGAACAAAAAGGCAAAGAATAGGCCATTTGCATGATGGGTAACTTTACTACAACTACCAGAAAGCCTTGCGCATTTTCTTTGTTATTCAGATTTTTAATCCCCTTAGCGATTAGTAAAACAATTGGCACTAATTGCATTACAAAAGAAAGTGGGCAAAGCATTCTGGTAGTTGTAGTAAATGACGCCATAATGCAAATATCGCCTATTGAAAAACGTGCAAAATAAGGAGTAATGAAATGTCAGTAGAGTGAGCCATTAAACCCGTGAAACAAAACTTGACTATTAAAGTGTGATAGTCAAATAGACACAAAAGAAAACAATGCAATTAGAGCGTACTAAGGTGTATTAGTGTAATATCTATTTCACGGGTTTTTTGACTMTGAAACCACTCTTCAATTGTATCTATAAACAAATACACTAATAAATCACAAAAACAAAAGAAAACTGTACACAAAAAAAAACACAAACAAGGTCATCGATATTATTCTGTAATTTAAAAAAAAATATATATAAAGTATTTAGATTTTGATTAAAATGCATAACGATTTCTATTTCATTCTCTATAAATACGATTCGCAAGCGGTAAACTGCAGTAAAATGTACTTTTTACACTCACTAACTAAAGTCTTTTTGTTACTTATCGATGATAAGGGCTTTAAAAAGGAAAATGAAAATACTACTTACTTATATTTTCCAGATTCCAGAAAATTGAGCTCATATAGGAATACATTTTCTCTGTAACCAGTCCTTGAAAACATATAGAACTTAAAACGACATATATATATAAAATATTCACGTCATATCATATTGATGCAAGAATTGTCTTGCTCACGCCCTCAAAACACGCGAAAATACATCGGAATTCCTTATTTAGACAAGAACGTCCATATATGGAAAACTGATTCAAGTCCTATACGATAAGCGTTTCAAGTTCAGCCAAGCTAGGAGCTCTTTGTAGTATATGCTGTGAAATAGCTATTGATATATGCTAAGCCATGAATTTTCATCTGTGRTGAAATTGTGATTTGGGATCTGAAAGAGMAAYWAGAAATTCGTCAATACATCTCATAATGTCTACAATTATCAATCAAGTTGTCACGTTTGCTTACGTTTTCGTCATTTCTCTAATTACAAATACACTTCAAAGATAGGCTTTGTTTAATTATATTGTTGATTCGATTTAGGTACCTTTTCTACAGACGTTGTCTATGATCTTTTGCAGATGTTGTCCTAAATCATCAAACGATTTTGCCTGGAAGACATCATTCTTTGGATGGCTAGCAATTTTATTTAATTCATCCTTATTAACATTCTTTCCCACACCGAAGGAATAAACATGGACGCCTTTGTTTTTAAGAAGAGCAGATGCTTCCGAGAGAGGGGTGTAGGAAGCTCGATCTTTTGTTTGCTTTCCATCTGTTATTACCAAGGCAACCTGCACCGGAGATCAGGGTTGGTCAATCAATCAAAATCAATAAAAACAGCTGCCATTTCGCCTTATCAGCAACCTCAAACAACCAGCCCAGTCCCTTCTCCTCTCCCCAAAACGAGAAGACCGGTAATTAGGTTATGCAATGACATACCTTAGGTATACTTGGTGGCCTCATTCCATATTTTGTATCGAAAATTTTTTCAGCAGCAAGCATGAGTCCCTTGTCAATAAAGGTGAATCCACGAGTCCACTTCATGGCTTTTATTAGTTTGTGATAATTATCCTTACTGATATCCGCTCCTTTAAGCTTATTAAAGTCGAATTCAACGACTGCATCAGTACTGTACGTTACCACAGCAACGTGAGTACCGGCTGGGCCGATATTGAAGTCATCTGTCATCGACACTAAGAATTTTTTCTTGGTTTCCCAGTTTCGCCTTCCGATACTTCCTGAAGAATCGACTATGAACACGATATCCATCGTCGTATCACAATCTATGAAGATACA